AATCTCCTCCAACAACTTGAACAAGTTTACATCTCTTCTAATACCGAATACTTGGTCATATGGGAATCAGAAACTGACGGACTTTTTCTGTGAAATCAGTGTATAAGCTCCTTTTTATGGATCAACTCTATATTGTTGATACCTCTTTGGGTTCTATTTGAAAATGGTCAGTTCCAGTTAAAATCCAAGTCTTCCTATGGATCCCATGTCAAATGAAATGTTTAACAATAGACAATCTGTAAAAGAGGGGTAAAATTCTTCCAAACATTTGCTTGATGTGCAAAACTGATGAAGAATCTTGCTCTCATATTTTCCTTCACTGTCCTTTTGCCTCTAGCATATGGCTTTCGGTCTTCTCTTTATTGGTTTTTTCTTCTTATGATACCTTTGAATCTCATCATCATTATTAACCATCTTTTTGCCATTGGATTACCTAAAAAAAGAGTTGTGATTTGGAAAATTTTCAGAAGTGTAACCTTATGGCAGATTTGGTTCGAATGTAATAGGACAGCCTTTGATGGGGTGTCTCAGAGTATTGAAAAGGTAAAAGATATCATTTTACAATCCCATTGGAATTGGTTTTCCTCCACGCCTGAAGGACAGGGTGCTCTTCGGGCTGCTGTTTATATCAAATTGAAATTTTTTACTCATTCATCTTCTCACTCTAGCGCTTAGAACTTGGATGGCACCTCTAGAAGCTTGCCTCAAACTTAATTTTGATGGCATCTCATTTGGAACTCTAGGGCCGGCAGGTGTTGGTGGGCTTCTTCGCAACAATTTTGGATCCATTATTTTTTCTTATTTGGGTCCTTGTGGGTCTACAACAACTAATCATGCTGAATTGCCCGCTCTCATTCAAGGCTTTCATATTATCATTGACAGGGGCTTCATTAGTGATATTATAATTGAAGGAGATTCCCTGAATTTTATCAAGTGGTATAGAAAAGAACGAAGGATCTTCTGGTTGCTATTTACTCTTTGGTTAAAAATTCAAGACCTATATAACAGGCCTAATTCGAGGATACGTTTCGGCTACACCATATGTGAAGCCAATGATGTTGCTGATGAGCGAGCTAAACATGGTGTTTCTCTTCCCTTTTTGTAAGTTTCTAACGATTAGATCCAATCTTTGTAATCTTATGCTCTTGAAGCATTGTTTTAATAAAAGCTCATAACATTTGCCAAAAAAAAATGAATTTCAAGTCCCAGAAAAATGAATTTCAAGTCCCAGAAATAGTGCATCTTCTAGTAAGTTATATGGACCATCTATTTTGAATTTTAAGTCCTAGAAATAATGCATCTTCTAGTAAGTTATACGAACCATCTATTTTCAAGATTTTTAAATGTTTATATATCTGCACAATCTACACTGCTTTTGAAATTTTAAATTTTACAATTAGGGTTGAACATGAATGTTCAAGCCAACATAAGACTTCTGATACCTGAACTACATCTTTTAATAAAATTTAGATTTACGCTCCACTTGTATAGTGTAAGGTGGGCACCTTATACAAACCCCACTCATTTAAAATTGAATAAGAATGCTTCAGTCAGTTGCAAATGAGTTAGCGCACGTTTGCTTACCCTACTTTCTTGAAAAGCACAATACCAGGCACACAAAAAAAATGGAACTCTTTTCCCCAAATCTATTTAGTACACGGGAGCATCCCAATTGTTGGTGCAATGTGGTACGTGTGTTGATAATGTTGTTATATGCACAACTAGGCCATTCAGGATTAGAACCAGAGACCTCGCTTGTGAAGTAAATCATCGCACCTACTATCCAACCAATTGGGAGATAATCAATAAATTATTTTTCGAGAGTGATTCATCCTTCCCGAGCGCAACATACAACTCTATGTTGAACTGCGCTCTCCAAGTATGACTTGTTCCCCCTTCTACCTTACCAATGAAAAGCAAGTCTTGGTGAAATAATAGAAGAAAAAAGAAGGCAGATTCACCAAAGTCCTTCAAACCCAAAAGGTTCTCTGAGGAGGAACTGTTTGATAATCATTTATTCAAAGATATAACGCCTAAAAATCATAAGAAATATTAGTCACTTTGTAGATATAAGCATGCTTCTAAACAAAAACAGAAAAAGAATAGTTCCATATATCTTTAAGAATTTGTTTTGAGCCCGAGCACGAGGTTCGAATAAAAAGTATGAATCCAATTGCCCAGGAACAAATAAGCCTAACACTTCCATTTTCTGATCAGGCTGAAGCCAAGCAAGGAGTAGAACCCCGTAGATGTCCAGTTTATGCCCTGCTTGCACGTCGTTTCAGGTTATTTTCAAGACCCGAAATTTTGGGGATGTGAAAGTAAAATATTATCTCATTTATTTGTTTCTTAAAATGTAGCATCTTAAGATTGAACAACGGCCGTATAACTTTTTAACTATAAAATCTAAGAAACTCAAAATCTAAGTTTTTTCATTGTTTTCTTTTTAGTTTTCAAAATAGTTGAATAATAATTCTAAAGTGGATCTCAAAATTTTAAACCAAACATATCCCTAAATATATGTTATAACCAAGGGGTTACGTACTCATCCCTAGGCGGCAGTGCCACATAAAATGGAGAAATTACAGAACTCCCCAAAATCAGACTTTCTAGACAACTTACCCAAACCAAGTTTATTTTAGCAAATTTTGCCCCGAATTTAATTTTCCTAGTAAATATTCCCAAGTCAAAAAGTCATATTTTTTGACGAAAATGTACATACTCGTAACACCAAATATTGACGTAGAAACCATGTGGTCCGACACAAAATAAGAGCAGTCCGACACTTTGGGATGTTAGAAAGTGTGGATCCGGCACAAAATAGAGGCGGTCCGACATTTTGGGCTTTTGAAAAGCGTGGATCTGACGGTCTGGCACTTTTGGTTTCTGGAAAGCATGTGGTCCGACACAAAATACGGGTGCTACCGCACTTCAGGATTTTGGAAAGCGTGGGTCCAGTTCACTATAGGGATGGTCCGACACTTTGGGCTTCTAAAAAGCATGCGATTCAGAACAACATAGGGGCGGTCCAGCACTTTGGGCTTCTGGAAAGCATGCAGTCCGACACAAAACAGGGTGGTCCAATACTTTGACTCTGGATTGATAGGGGGTCCAGCAGTTGTTGCATTAGTCCTCTGGCACTTTGGACGTTAACGAGTCCACGTCAATGTCTGGCTCTAAGGGTAAGAACATTTTCGTAAAAAAAAAAAACATTTTTTACTAGGGGGCCTTCGCTAGAAAAGTTAAATTTAGGGCTTTGGGAGGAAGTTGTCTGGAAGATATGATTTTAGGGGGGTTTTGTAATTTTCCTTATATTATATTCGCAAAAAGAAAACCCAACTGCATTTTTTTTTTTTGAAATGTTCAAACTCGTTTTTTTTTTTGAATGTTCAAATTCGTCGTCATTATTAATATATTTTATCTCAATGTATTAAAGCCTTCACATATTGAAATAGCTTTAACATCAATATAGCATTTAAACGTTATATTCTTGACATACTACATAGGGAAAATTATAAAAAACACCCTCAAATGGACTATCAATGCGACTTACTCCTACATCAATCTTTTCCATCACATGTTTCCCCCAAACGACCTTTCCTCGTAAATAACCCCGCAACTCAAAAGTAGCATGAAATAAGACTAAACTACCCTTGTTTGTTTTCATACAGCCTTCTCTCTCCTATTTTCACACGTGCTTCGACAGTACAAACACACGCTCCGACATTCTGAATGTGCGCTCTGGCAATGCAGGTTTGAGCCGCAGCGCTCCGGCATTATGAGAACTCGCTCCGGTAGTGCAAAGATGTGCTCCGACATTCCGCTCCGGCAATAAAGTCTTTGGAGTCACTGCGCTCCGACAATGGAGGATCGTGCTCCGGCAGTATAAACAAGCACTCCAACATTCTGAATGTGCGCTCCGGCAATGCAGGTCTGAGCCACAGCGCTGGCATTATGAGAACGCGCTCCGGTAGTGCAAAGACGCACTCCGACAATACGCTACTTGGGACTTACAAATTGATTTTGTTTGCACGCGAAGGGCATATTCATCCAAAAACTAAGAACTTTTTACCTAGAGGAGGTTTTTCCAGTTTTTGTGAGGAAAGGTTGTTTTAAAGAAAAAAGTGAGAAAAAAGATTAAGGTGGAGGTAAGTTACATGATAATCCATTTTAAAGTGTTTTTTGTAATTTTCCCTAGTAAATGTTTATAGGGGACATTTGGAGGGCGTTGAATTTTGGCCTATAGCCCTCAAGTTTAATCAGCCCTAGACAATTTTCTCATTTTTGGAATATAACTTCAATTATATTTAATAAACAAATTAAAGTGCGTTCCTCTCGTGTTAACTAGAAATAAATTTCTTTAAACTCTGTTTACATATCGGAAAAAATAACTCTTTAATATTAGTCATGTATCAAATTTCCCAAATTTGTCAAAACTCATACACTATTTCTTATGTTAATTATTTATTTTTTAATACATATTTATAGAATTACACCATCCGAAATCTTCTGCGAGTTGGCCTTTCGGGCCAAGCTGAAGACGGCACCACAAACTAATGACATTGGTTGAAACAAATAATTTCTGCCCAAGCAATACATGAAGGGTGAGATATAAGGTGTCAACCTTAACAATCACGGTACTGAACACCTCAAAATCTCATCAGAATATGTATTTTCGATGCCAAAACTCTCATCATGGCCTCAAAGTCTATTTTTTACCCCTTCAATAAAAGTAAAAGCTCTAAAAATGGTGCAAATCAAACAAATCGATGAACACTCGAAAATCTTGAAAATAGACGATCTAGATAATGTATTATAAGATGCACCATTTTTAAGACTTGAAATTCCTTTTTTTTTTATATCCATATATATTGAGGTCAAGATGATCGATTGGAGAATTTTCTAATGATGAAATAACCTTTTTCGATGGGTTTTTTTGGTGCACCTTACTTTTATTTTTGGGTAAATATGTGCACGTTACTTCTACAGTATAACGCACCTTACATAAATTTCACCTTTTCCATATATGAAAGGTCCTTTTATTGTACTATCAAGTCAATCTCACTGAACGATTTTAAGATCAAAGCTGAGTCATGGATACATGCTTGGAAAAGCACAAAGAGTAAGCCACACAAAAATAAAGGGAAAGGAAACTCCCAACAGGCTCGTCTGCAACTCCGCAAGTCATCAGAGCTAGGAGCAGCAACTACTCACTCCAAAGATGTCGGAACATTCTTTTCGATGATGGCTGCCAGAACCTCATCAATGGTTTGGAAGTTAAATCTCTCCTTAACAATCATCTTTGCCAACTCCAGAGCTTGGTGCTCACAATCCGCACGTTTTTCTGCATCTTGGATCGATTCCAAATCCTCAACATGAGCTACACCCACTATCCTCCTAGAGCATGCACATAAACAGCAGTAAACAACAACCCATAAAGGACACATTAAAGAGAAGAATGCAACAAATTACTGCATGAATATTCTAAATATTGGGACAATATCACCTCCCATTGGCATTCTTTTCTATGTGAGGGTGCAAAATGACAATTATGTAGGGGAATTGTGAGAAGTTTTGGGGAAAGAGAGATTGGGGATTTTGCTTATCTAATGCCAAACACTAGCAATTTTTGCACCCTCATACTGGGGCAGATTTATTGGTGTTTCTTTCAGGTACAGTGTCGATCAACAGCATTAAAGGAACCTATTGATGGTGTTATGGCCAAAAATTAATTACAGGTTCATTCACCACTGTAAGCTCTATAAAACTCATAAAACTTGTAATTTCTTCCTTGAATAGTGAATTCATCCCAAAGGCTTTATTGAGAACCGCAAAGAACTCTCCCTTGAGATGAAGTGTACATATTACAAGCGGAAGGCATTATTGAGAAGCGAAAAGAAGAATTTGTGGAAATAAAAAAATACTAGTATAGATTTAAGCCAGCATTGAGACAATAGTTTAATATATTTGATATGTTATCAGGAGTATTGGTTAACACTAGGAGAACAACAATTATAATTACTTAAGGTTCTTTGATGATAGTGGATACTTGACTATAGTCTTACATGTATGACATACCATCTGTGCGCTAGGATAATGCTAGGAATAATGAACTCAAAACAGCCTCGAGCCAATGATTTGAGAAGGATTTTGGACTGGTAAACAACAAAATGGGTGCTTTGGTATTTAAGAGACACTATTAATGATGCAATCACATTTAGCAAGGGCTCATGTGACCAAAAATGAGAGAGGAAGTGTAGGGATCTAGGCCATATTAAATGCATCGAGGATGAGGGTCAAAGGCTTAGTGAATGATGACGAAGTCAACAAAAGGTGGAAAAATTATTTCAAAAAATTGTTATATGGTGAACACAATGGGAATAAAGAGCTAAGAAGAACTTTTGGCACTAATGAGGGCAGAGGTAATCGATATATACGCAAGATTTAGAAATCTGAAGTGAAAGAAACTCTGAGGAGGATGACGAAAGGAAAGATTATAGGACTAAATGGTATCCCGATAGAAGTTTGAAAGTTTATGGAGAAGATTGGCATATGTTGGCTGACAAGATGTTCAACAAGGTGGTGAGAATAAAGAAAATGTTGGACGAATGGTGGAAAAATATTGTGGTACCTATATACAAGAACAAAGGAGACCTATAGGATTGTGCAAACTATCGTGGGATCAAACTTATGAGCCATAGTATAACGTTGTGGGAGCGATTGATTGAGCAACGACACGTAAAATGAGTCTCAAAAAATAAATTCGAATTTATGCCAAGGAGGTTGATAATTGAGACCATTTCCTACTTAAGCAACTGACTAAGAAGTTCATGAAGAAGGGAAAAGACCTTCACATGATCTTTATTAATTCAAAGAAAGCCTATGATAGGGTACTTACAGATTTAACTTGGTGGATGTTGGACAAGAATGGAGTCGATAAATGCTATATTGACAAAATGAAAGGTACGTATGAGGGAGCACTAACTAGTGTGCAAACAACTCGAGGAGAGACAAGTGAATTTTCAATGATAATAGGCCTACATCAGAAGTCAGCAAGTTCCCAATTATCATGATAGAAGCAGGACAACTACCATATTTGTTTTTCAGTTTGTGAATGGACTTGTAAGTTGGATGTCGAGGCTCCAAGATATAGGAGCACTATCAAGCAAAGGCATCAAAAGAAGTAGTGTGGCACGAAGAGTCAATGGGTGAGAAGGTTATTATGTGCAAGCCCATAGAACTTTGTGACAATTGTGTGTAAAAAATGAATATTGAGGCATTTTAATGTATTTTCTATGTTCAATCAATCCAAACTCCAAAGACAAACCAAAGTATTTCAGATTTGGACAATTTGTTAAAACACATTAAGAAAACTAGAAAAATATCATTCAACATTCAAATTTAGTATTAGAATAATAGTAGACTACTAGTACTAAGTACTAACACAATCATGTAGTCACAAACTCACAAATCACAATTCATAAATCATAAATTATAATCCAATTAATCCATACTCCATAGTCCAAAGCCCAACCCAAACACCATAGAAGATACTTCTTATTAACTCATCATTAAAATCAAATTCAAACTAAAAGGATGATGCTTGGATCAATTTGTTAAAACTTTGAATTAACTGAGAAATCTAATAAAATAGTAAAGATTTTTTTTTTTTGCATTCTAATATGTAAAAGACAAAAAGGTTTAGGGCGCATAAAAAGCTAGCCCTCATCACCCCTCGCTTTCCCCCGTATTTATGGGGGAAAGTACAAAAATGCCCCTCCACGAGGAGCGTTTTGTCCCCTGAGCAGGCAGAGTTCTTGGGCGCTTGCCTAGGGCTAGGCACTAGTCCCTGGGCAAGCGCTTAGGGACCCAGTTCCCAAGAGGGCTGTAGCCCAAGCCCCCTTGGCCGCTAGGCAAGCCATTTTAACATTGGAGTCCATTGATGGTGTTGTTGTGGTAGGGAAAATTAATTTGAGGTTTCTTTACCATATTTATGCAATTTGTATAAAACCTACAAAACTTGTAATTTCTCCCTTGATAGTAAATTCGTCCTTGCCCATTTTGGGTGAACCACATAAATTAAGTGTGAGCGTTTCCTTTGTGCTTGTGGTTATTGGATTTCTATTCCATTTCCTTTTGGTTCTCTTATTTTTCTCAATTTATTGCACAAATCATTGTTCTTGGGCTTCTAGTTTCCATGAAATCGGACTGCTGTTGATTGATAAGTCGCTTTTTGAAGTGCTAGGTTTGCTGTTGTGGGGTGCTCACCACATCGAGTAGGAATTAGGGTTGTCCAGGTTTGCTAACACGAACGAGGCCATGTTGCCATAGCATCTATACCTCAAATTTGAAGAAATGGAACCTAAATTGACCATCAATATGATGACTTCCATTTACCTTATCATCTTGGCCCCACCAAATCCAAGGGTATCATGAAACAATTCTTGCATATACTTTTGTTGCACTTGCTGCCGAAGCTCGGGTTTGCTATATATTTCAGCTGGATACGCGTCACCACAACGATCCCAGTTTTCTTTCCAAAGGTCTATAAACTTGTCTTGAAAAAGGTTCCAAGTTTCTTTGATTGTTTTCAGAATCCACTTCTTGAATTCCTGCATCATCGCAATTATTTAAATGAAATGAGAATTCCAAGAAATTTTACTTGTGTAAATAAAGCACAAAACACAAATGAGCGCCACTCCTAAACTAAGAAAGCATTGAAATCTTCCGATAACCAAAAGAAGATATGGCAGTGCTTGTGGTGGTATCGTTGTGGTGCTCTCTCTCTCTCTCTCTCTCTCTCTCTCTCTCTCTCTCTACACACACACACACA